GTGCGGGGATTTCAATATTGATTGCTATAAGGGCTCAAATAGTAATTTTGAAAAACTATGTGAACCAAAAGTAGAGTGGCCAACCAGGGAACACTCAATACAATGTCAAGGATTGATCAAATAGTACCATTTTTGAGTGAAAATGTCGAGATTTACATATTTGCAGGTCAAAGTGCCAAAAATTTCATAAAAAAAAAGTTGGTCTCACCAATGTCCGACGCTCCTGATTAAAATTTATGAAATTTCTGAACACTCCCGAATCGGTCATAAAAAGTTAGGTACAGTGCTAATTTAATTGATGTAAACAGATTAAAACTGATTTCATACAATTTTCTGTACAGGTATCAAACTTTCTACAATATATCTTCAAATATACAGAGAATACAGAAATATATATACTTTTTTAATGGAATTCCCTGTATATTTTGATAGATTTGAAGATGAGTTGACTGCCTACCGAAATACATTGAGCAACGCCGTTAGTAATCGTTTAACAAAGTAACAAAATATATATTGAATTTGATTATAAGATATTTTCTACATGTGCACCGTCAACTTCAATGCATTTTAAACAACGTTTTATAAAGTAGGAATGAGTTCTTTATATATTATGCCGTGGGTCATCGTCTTGCTGCCAAGAAATCCTTGTTTAATTCTATGAGGGGTAACTCATCTAAATAGTCTTCGACATCAGTTTTCGAAATGTTCAGGTAAGACTGACTTGTTAATCTCTCAAGAATGAAAAAAGGACCAATGAATATGGATTTATGAATTCCACACCAACAGTTCACAGTCCTACGTCCCTGTTTTTTTCACTTGCATCACAGCATGTGGGTTTTGAGTCGCCCAATGATGGGTATATCTCCTATTGAATATGCCACTTGTAGAGTATAATGATTCATCTGTCCAAATAATGTTTCTTAAGAAATGTTCGTCTTGATTGTTTCTATCGATCATTTCTTCACCGAATAATCTTCTGTTTCGTAAATCATCCGCATTCAAATATTGCACAGGAAGCACATGATATCGTTTATATCCATTTCTCATATCTGTCATCACACTTGTTTGCGAAATGTTCATTTCTCTAGCTACTGCCACTGTAGAGCGGCGAGATTCTTCTATAAAGGACCCCGCACTTTTAGTACGTAAAATGGTTCTCGGTGAAATTTTCTGAATTTTCAGTATGTTATAATTCGATGAACTGATTGAACCTGCAGAATCGTAAAGTTCTTTGACGAACAGATTCTGAGATACAGGGCGTTGAAGTTACAAATCGGTATTTTTCTTTTAATTATTTTCACGAAATTCAAAGATGCCAAGTACGATTTTCTTCGCTCATATCATTACCGAATCTCCATATTACTCAACATAATTCAGATGGTTCAGATGATGTAATTGTTTACAGAGTGAAACATATAAACATTTCAGTGATGTCTGAAAATCCGATGTAATAATTGAATATCGAAAAAATAATTTGGGCATGCAATATACCATTCTCATTCCATCATGAATCACAATTCATACATTTCATACAGGGTGATTTGAAAAATTGGTGACACCTAACACCGATTTATACATACACATCCTGTATATTCGAGTGAATTGTTGACCTCCCAAGATAGCTGATACCGTATGAACATGATTTCGTTGAGATATATAGGGTGATCATGAAGATTTTCGATGATGAAAATGACAAAAAATCGTGTTTTTGGAAATCACCCTATTATTCATGATTAACTCGGTGAAATTCCCTAATTATTTTTTAATATATTCATCATACGCTCCTCAACGCTGTCTTGAGAATTCAGTTCCCTATCATGACGGGTGTCATAGTTATTAATTCAGGAACTTACCATTTGCATGAAGAGTTAAAGAGACTTGTTCACTCACATTCGCATAGTGGTCGATATTTTTCACAAATAGTGAAACGTGAGAATGTCAAAACGAAAATAAATTAAGTATTCATGAACATTAGAAATTCAATAACAATAGCAGATATATGAATTTAATAATATTAATATAATGTACAGATAGTTAGGCGAATTTCGTTGGTATACAAGCTCTGCCAAAATGAAAAACGAACAATACCTAGGAGATGGGAGAATGATTCGGTCTTTCACGCTTTCATTTCTAATAGGGAGAGTTGAATCCTGAAATCGACAGATTTGTTCACATTTGTTTTCCACTCAGAATCAGGCGTTTCCATCATTTTCATATTTGCTTGCTATCAGTAATTATTATAATATCATTCCAGGCCTTCGTACAAGTCTCTTTAACTCTTCATGCAAATGGTAAGTTCCTGAATTAATAACTATGACACCCGTCATGATAGGAAACTGAATTTCCAAGACAGCGTTGAGGAGCGAATGATGAATATATTAAAAAATAATTAGGGAATTTCACCGAGTTAATCATGAATAACAGGGTGATTTCAAAAAACAGATTTTTTGTCATTTTCATCAACGAAAATCTTCATGATCACCCTATATATCTCAACGAAATCATGTTCACACGGTATCAGCTATTTTGGGAGGTTAACAATTCACTCGAATATACAGGATGTGAATGAATAAATCGGTGTTAGGTGTCACCAATTTTTCAAATCACCCTGTATGAAATGTATGAATTGTGATTCATAATGGAATGAGAATAGTATATTGCATGCCTAAATTATTTTTTCGATATTTCATTATTACATCGAATTTTCAGACATCACTGAAATGTTTATATGTTTCACTCTGTAAACAATTACATCATCTCAACCATCTGAATTATGTTGAGTAATATGGAGGTTCGTTAATGATATGAGCGAAGAAAATTGTACTTGGCATCTTTGAATTTCGAGAAAATAATTAAATGAAAAATACCGATTTGTAACTTCAACGCCCTGTATCTCAGAATCTGTTCATCAAAGAACTTTACGATTCTGCAGGTTCAATCAGTTCATCGAATTCTATACAACATACTGAAAATTCAGAAAATTTCACCGAGAACCATTTTACGTACTAAAAGTGCGGGGTCCTTTCAATAAAACTTTCAACTCACACTCTTCTGTTGAAACCATCCTACGTTTTCTTCTTTTAGTATTATTCAATGAATTACTTGCGATGAATCTGGTATAAATTTGTTTGAAAGTGATTTTTGAAGGTGGGTTTCATCCGGAAATCTTCTGATGTATTCTCGTCAAGCTTCTGTCATATTTTTATGACTGGATGAATAAATTTTCAAGATTCCTTCCCTTCTTTTCTCAATAGAATGATACATTACAATTATGTTGAAGAACAATTATCTTCAAATAAACGTCAATGTGACATTCAACTATAATTTCATTTGTTTTCACAGCCTGCTTCAGATTATTAAATAAAATAAGGTAGAATGTAACGTGACATCTCTCTTTCTAGTAATACCACAAACACTATTGAACCAATAATAAAATATGCATATATATTTGAAATAAAAAATTCAAATCTATCAAAATATACAGGGCATTCATATTTTTGTGTATCCTGTATATTCAAAGATATATTGCAACACCGTGAATATAATTGTAACCTGTACAGAAAATTGTATAAAATCAGTTTTCAATTTCTTTGAATAGGTGGAAAACAAAAAAGATGAAGGGGAGTTTACATTAATAAAACTAGCCCTATACCGGGTGACACGTTTTAAATACCACCCCCTATAACTTTATTATTTTTTCAGTAGAAAAAAAAATGAAAAAATTGTCTCAGGGGATTTTTCTTCCTCATCGAAACAACTGATATATTTCTCTAGTATCTCAGAAGATATACAGGAAGCAAGAAAAAGTGCAAAAATTTCGGAGAGCTTTCCAAAAATACTCCACTCAATACACTTCTCTTCAGTATTTCTCATAATATAGACGTTTGAACCTGAAATTCGTTTCTATAGATTTCTGAATGAATAACAACTGTTCTATGGTTGCAGATAGTATGCCATGAGGTAACCATGAGTAACTGGAAAAATAATGATGGTTTGTTATGACATTTCTGGTGAAGATAAATTCCTTCGTCATTTCTTGTTAATTTCCTCCATAATCAATTCTTGAATCATGGTTTATTCAAATGAAGAAAAGCAAGAAATAGTAACTTTATTCATAGAAAATAATCAAAACGCATCCGTTGCAAGACGTGGCTATGAATTGCGTTTTCTGAATGGTAATATTCCGTCAAGGCGAACGAACCATGAAGAACATTTACTTAAAGTTTATAAGGACTTCAAATTTTCAACGAAAAAAAAAAAAAAAAAGACCATGTGGATACCAGACCATTGAATAATGATAGAAACTGCTAATTTCCGGGAATTAAATCAATATTACAATTCTGACTTTGAGTGATTACTTACTGACAACGGGTATTGAATATCATATCACGATTATTATTTACCTAGATTCATCGTCACAGCATACTCTCAAAAATCATTTGAAGATCGATAAACACTATTTTTTTTAGGTTAGACTGTCCATAAAATGAGAATTACTGAAGATAAATGTATTTTTGGAAAGCTCTTCGAAAGGTCTATCTAATGGCGCGAAAGTATATAGGGCGTACCATTCAAAATTTGTACACTTTTTCTTGCTCCCTGTATATCCTCTGAGATACTAAAAATATATCAGTCGATTCGACGAGGAAAAAAGTCCCCTGTAAGGCTGTTTTTTTTATCGACTGTCAAAAATAATAAAGTTATAGGGGGTGGTACTTAATAACGTGTCACCCGGTACATACATGTGCAAAATTTGGTTATTTTATCACAGGGGGTTTCGGAAATATTCACATAAAACCATCATCTCGGGCTCCCCTTTAGATGGGTATAACCCTCCAGGAGGCCATTTTCGGACCCATGTTCATATGAACTTTTTTCACTATTCTCGTTCCTAGAATCCGTAGTTGAAATCTTTCAATGCAATTTCGGGACACCCTGTATCTATCACATCAGGTTTCGTTTGGTGGGCTCGTCGACTAATAATTCCGTTCGCATCGCAGGTGAAAAAGGGCGTGAAGAGAAAGGCGGACACGACGACGCCGACGGCGGCGGCATTCGACTACGCGCCCCCCATCGAATCGAAGACGGCGAAGATCTCGACGCGCCGCGAGTCGGGCAGGCAGATCAAGAAGCCGGCGCGGCCGGAGATGGACGGACACGTGCCGCAGCCGGCGTCGCACAAGCCGAAGGAGAAGCTCAGCGATCCGTTGAAGGCGTGCAACGAGATCCTGATGGAGTTGTTTTCGAAAAAGCATTCTGTGAGTAGTTGGTTTTTTTTTTCAAAAGGAGTCTCAAATATAATTATGAACATAAAAAAATGGATGGATATACAGGGTGTTTCATAAAAAAAACTGACCCCCTTGCTTAGGTAGGTAGAACACTGCAAGATAAGTTGGATTTGCTCAGTAAAAAAATGTAACGGCATTCGTTTTCAAGATACAAGGTGTTGAAAAAATTATTTTTTTACACATTGTTTACGATTATGTGGAAACTACTGGCAACATTGTAATGACATTTTGTATGGATGTTTTTTGGAATCTGACACATGGCTTGAATTTGTTTTTCTATCTGACTCTCATAGATGGCGCTAGTTACACGGTTCGTACCTAGTAGTTTCAAACATAACTTTTTTGAGGTTAGATTTTTCAATCCAAATTCGATGTTTACTTGAACATCATTCAATTTCACACCAAAAAGGTACTCTTGGTGAAACTCGATACTGTGTTCCGTTGTCGAAATATTCTGATTTGAAAATGATGAAGTGATAACTGTTGCTGGTATAAAGCTATGTATTAGAGTGAGTATTATAAAAAATCATCACCTATTTACTACAAACCGAAAAAAACAATACATTTCTAATGCTGAACTTATTGATTTAACAATGATTCACAAGAATAACATTGAAACAAATTTTACTAAAAACATGGATTTCACAGTTTTGTTGTATCAAGCAAAAAGTGTATGCTACAGAGGTAAATTCACGTCTGGAGTTGCAAATCAGAATTGAACATCACTTAGATGACCTTTCAGCTGATCCTCAACCGTTTAGAAAAATAATGCTCTCATAAAAAAAATATCGAATTGACATAATCTTTCAAATCGGATAAAATAATATGATGTATTATGATATAAAAATATAACTTACCAACATGATCAGTATTGAAATGAAAATTGAAAAGTATATGAGAATTATTGTATAAACCCTGATCTTGATGAGCTTGGAACTTACAAAAAAAATCATTCATATCAGTGATGTGGGAATTATATCTCCCATGTTTTTCATGTTTGGATCACTTACCTATGCAGAGTCATTCATAAAGTTGGCATCATATGGGGGAAAGACTTTTGATAATAATTTATTTTGGAATTTGTCTTGGGCATTAAGTTTTGCTTCAAAAAGGATGGAAAATTGCTTACTCGGTCGGAGTCACGTGACTTTTGCTCAAGCGTTTGCTACATGTCAGAAGTTCCATTTTTTCAAATTAATCACTGTAAATACGCTTATTTCTTCGAATTTCGTAAAAGTGTACAAAGACAAATCGTTTCTATTCCAATTTTACGCATGTGTCTCAAAGCTGCAACTTTTGGTTCTTGATATTTTTTACTTTCTTCTAATTGTAACTTTGACAAAACTGTCCTAAACTTTGGTTAACCACGTAAAGTAGTTTGCTGATATTTTGATAGATGACGGCTTCATTTTAGTACTGAAGAAATCAATTCAATAAATTTCGCTCCTGAATGATAGACGGAACATCAACTTTGCATCAAACATAACAGAAATTTGAAGCGGAGATCATTGTTTTATGAAGAAAATAAAATTGTTGTCGATAATTATTAGTGATTGAAAGTTAGTAGCATGAGAGAGAATGTTCAAATTTGAGACACAATTATGTAATAGTATATTACATAACAAGAGTTGTAAAACGCATATTACGCACAAAGTGGAGAGAGTTACGCACGAGCCGCATAGCGGCGAGTGTGTAACTCCACAAGTGCGTAATTGCTTTACAACTCGAGAATTGTACTATACTTTTTCTACGACTACACTATATTTTCTTCCGGATAGTGCAGATATTGTAGTAAGGCACAAATAACGAATACTGCTGCATGAAAAGTTACAAATCCAAATTCTTGTGTTTGTTTATTGATACATTGCATACCGAGACATTTTCCTCAATTCGAACTGAAATGGAGCCATTTTTCATATCTAAACAACTTTATTAATAGCAAAAAACACATTACATAAAAATATAAAATCAACATTAATGATAGTTATTTATTGTAAAAGTGCAGAATGAGAGATTCTGTAATCGTTATTAAAAATAACAGACAGTATTTAATAAAAAAAAGTTCTCCATTTGCGCTTTGAATCGCCGACCTTTGGGTTTTGGAGCCAGCGCTTTCAACAACTGAGCCATCACCATTAATTTGTTTTAGTAGATATTTTATAAATATGATTTCGAAGATTGATCTTTTCTAATTATTCCTGTTATTTAAAGAAAAAGGAAGTCACCAATTCAATGTTGAGTATGTATGTTATTTGAAAAATTACCTTCATGAATAAATATTCATCAACAGGAGCATTCTGCAGAAAATAATTGATCTGTTCAGCATTGAATATTTTCGATATTTTACTTCAGAATCCATCCGATTTCCTTTTGAGGGAATGGGATATATGTTGCTATATTAATATTGTGATTGATATTTAGTGTTGATCGTAACATGGAATATATCGACCAGAGTGATGATGATTTCATCGAATTTGATAATTCTTGAAAATATACTAAAAGGATATGTTCCGAAAACGACACGGTATTATTTCTAATTCTCCAGTCCAGGAATTTTTGATGTGCTATTTCGTATCATTCACGAGACTTAGCGGGTAGCAACTCATTTTTAGCCATTCTAGCTTTTTCCAACATTTCTGGTGGTATCCTTCTACCCACCTAGCTACTGACATAATGAAATTTCTAATTGTTATTGACACATCGCCCAAGCAACGAAACAAAGTCATCTATCAACATACCTATGAAAACCGTGCGATCGCTCTCTTTACGCACACGTGTGTAAGGAGAAGCTTACTGCCATTGTTTTGTGTACAATATTCATCACTTACAGTAGTAGTCGTAGGAAAAATAAAATAAAACCATCTTTTCTCTGTAAACTTTTTTGAAATTCAAACAAATAAGCCTATTTTCAGCGATTAATTTGAAAAAATGTAACCTTTGACATGAAGCGAAAGTCACATTCCCTGGACCGAGTAGTCCATTTTTCTTATTTTATAAAGCAAAACAACACCCAAGTCGAATTTTTTAAAATAAATCATTATTGAGAGTTTTTCCCGTTTAATGCCGACTTCATGAATTACACTGTATTTCAGTTTTACCCTGAATTGAACTCGCGCATACCCCGTGCCTCCACTTATCCAAAATGATAAATAAACTTGTGGAGAAAAGAATCATGTTATTTTTTTCGAGTGAGCATAGAATTATGGATTGTGTCCAGTTGGGTTCCAGAGTGAGAAAAGTACTGGTGATGCAATGTTCAATCCTTTACAACAGGCCTATCTCAAATTCTATGTTAGGGAAGTTGCTGCAGCAGTATTTTGTGATCTGACAAAGGCATTGCATCGGTCCGACCAGGTCAACTTTGGGACAGTTAACCTGGCCGGACACTGGACCACAAAATTCTGCTGAAAAAATTTGACAGATATGGGTTTAGAGACATAGTTCTACATTGGTTTGAGTCGTATTTGTTTGGGCGAACTCAAAGTGTAGTTACCAATTAGCCCAGTTCTCTTTTTGCTGCTATATATGAATGATTTAGCATCAATAATTATTTGTGGAAAGTTCAAATTAAACGATGAACAAACTCAATTTAATAGGCTTGAATTATTTAACCATTTATTATTCTCACTCAATTCCATTATGTGCCGTGCACTTGTGATCTGTCTCACTTAGAATAAAAACTTTTCATGAATTGGACTTAACGTTGTCATTTTGGTTTTCTGTGTTTTGTTACCAATTGTCAGTGGTTATGAGTTGAAGTTAACCTCATTGCTTATCCATTAGGTTGCATTTTTTATAAATTATTTCTTGTGATAAGTTTTTAAAGTTGAGATCTGTGGCTATCTTCAAAACGGTACCCCAATAGTAATTTTATCTGTTCAATATGCCGTTAGAGTTTTGTTATTGTTGGGAATCTCCTTTTTTACACATTTAAATGTATTAAAAATGTTTTTGTGATGTAACATGAGATTTTTTTGTCATCACAGATCTATCCAGAAGTTTTCTGATTGAAGAATTAATTCTTCCATACATGTTTCTTGAATGACATTCCAGTAATAGTCATTTTTCCTCGAACTTGACTACATAAACTGGGTCGAGGATAAGTGTTTCAGGTCAAAAATAGCTAACTTCATTGTTTTTCAGAAAAATTTAAACAAAAATCATGTAATTCGCTTTTTACGATATTTGGAAAAACAAATCATGATTGGCCAACTACTCTACTCAACTCGTCAAGCACTAGAATATGCAACTTTGCTTTAATTTAACCGATTTGATGTATCATAAGATAACTGAGATCCCAATAGCTTGAAAACGGACTTCGTTCACATTTTATCTAACAACTACAATAATCTAATCTAACTGTTAATAAGAAACATTTAGATTCTTCACACCAACTTCCGATTTTATGCTACTCTAGTAAAATGCCATTGTGATCAAATCATGAACATGAGACATTTTATTAGAATAGGACAATAGGAATACTGGGACACCCTGTACATTCATATTGATGGCATTCTGTGTACTATTTTTTCGTTATCAGTTCTAGTAATTGATTGAAATAATTGAAATATTTCTTTGCAGAACTATGCTTGGCCCTTTTATCAACCAGTCGATGCAGATCTACTGGGTTTGCACGACTATCACGACATTATTAAAAAACCCATGGACTTTGGCACTGTCAAACAAAAGATGGACAACAGAGAATATCGTACTCCGCAAGACTTTGCTGGCGACGTTAGACTGATTTTTACTAATTGTTATAAATACAACCCTTCGGACCACGATGTGGTGGCGATGGCTAGAAAATTGCAAGATGTGTTTGAAGTTAAGTAAGTAGTTTGGACTGTCCGTTCCAGGGGCGATTCGCTAATGAATTTGTGTTTTCAAGGTTTGCTAAAATTCCTGACGAACCAATCAATAGGGTAGGCGGAGGTGTGTCTAGTTTGGCGACGAAATCTGATTCTAGTAGTTCTGGTTCAAGTTCGGAATCTTCCAGTGATACCGAGGATTCTGAGGAGGAGAAGCGGAACAAGCAATTGAAATTATTAGAAAAAGAGGTGAGTTTTTATTATTTATGTTTCTCATCTTTTTGCTGATAGGCTATTTCTACATAAACAAAGACCTAACTCAATCTATTGATGTCAGATTCATGAATTTAGGCTGTGTGACAATATTTCTGACTTATTTATTGGTTTTCGGTTTCCAGCTCTAACAAATTTGATGCTACATGAAAATATTTCACCATTTCACTGTCTATTAAAGGGAAATTCACAAAGAAACCATACAGATGCATGAAATATTCAACACTTTATTTTCTTTCTTGAAATTTTGAAAGATGGATTACCTGTAAATACAGTGAGATTAATCATGAACTAGTTATGGAAAGTATATTATTCTATATTTGTGAAACTACCAAAAATTCCTAGTATTTGATCATCTTCAACTAATAATAGTACAACTGCTTCCCACGGAAACTGTTATCTGACATTTTCATCAAGAGTTGAATGTTGTGAGTTGTCAGTATAGAAAAAGAATAACATTGAAGCTTTTTACTGGAAATAACATGTTCGAATGTATAGGAAATATTTTGACAGTTCTTAAGAAATCGCAATTATGGTCATGGTGCATTTATGCAGCGATCATAATCGCAAGTCTTAGTCGCAAATCAAAAGTCGTGTTAGAGAATCCAATGGTCAGATTCATATCCTAACATTTATGCACAAGTCGTAAGTCATAAGTCATAGTTTGAAGAATTCAACTATTACGATCAGCGTTTACTATTCATCACTCATCAGACAGCGCATGCGTGTTATTTGTGTTTATGTGTTTTCCAAAATCAATTGTCCAGTTATTATATTATAAGATTTTAGAAAAATTCACAATTGCAATAACTATATCACTCCTTCTATATTCTCTCAATTCTAATGCAAGCAGATATGGTAACTGGTACTCACCTTATAATTTATTCACACCAGATTGTAATTTCGGGGTTGAATATTATATTACCCAATGAGCTTTACGTTTTCAGTCACGTGACATCAGATTCAAAGTTATTAATGGGACAACCTGTTTATTTTGGAATTACTATATGTTCCTCTCGATAAAACAATTCCAACAATCTATCACACTTGTAGCCTACAAGGATTAATTCAAGAACTATACCAGGTACTTCAATATCTTTTGTCCCCCGGCGATTACTACAAACGTCTGAAACGAGCAGTTGCCAAATTATTTGAGTTTAGGGTGTCAATGTTTATGTGGGCAATCCTATATTCATTGTGATGATTAAAACGATGCAAAATTATATTAATCATTCATATTTTATGGAAGAGCGTAGTCAAAAAACTTTGGGACAAAGGATATTGACGTACCTCTAGATCGCTATAAATAGAGACTACAATAATTGTAATCGTTTGTTGAAATCGTTTCATCAGGAGGAATGTGAAAATGCCAAAATATACAGGTTGTCCCATTAAAAATTTTGAATCTGACATCACGTGACCAAGAACAAAAATCTCATTGGGCAACGTAATATCGAAAAAAAGGTTCTCAATTGCTTCAATTTTCGACCCCAAAACTCACACGAATATTCCCATGAATACTTATTGTTCAATCAAACAGTCGTGAAAGCTTCCACTTGTGAAATATCTATATACATACAAAGTCGCGCGTGGTCGCGCTGAACAATTCCTATTGCTTCTACCCACCCCTACCTCCTCCAAATTCCTAAAATCTAACAAAAAAAAATCCTCTGTTACATCAAAACTATCATAAATATCACCCCACTTTCAGCATAGCACAGAACATAATAATTAATAAAACATTATTACTTAGCTATACTTACGAACACACAAAAAGTTTTAAATTGGGAGCACTTTCACGTACGATCCATTTCGTGTGATTTAACCTAGAAAATTACCGAATCCACATATCACATTCTTCTAGATTGTGTAAATCTCCATAAACTGTTATATTATCATTGTTAGTAACTCCATTTGTCTTATATTTGAAAGATTGGGGTAATTCCATATTGAAATAAGGCATTGAAATCAAACTCAACTAGGTATTCAACTCAATGATAGGATGCACGTGCTGCTTGCATAATAATGACTGACCATTGACAAAAACAAAAGCGCGAGCCCTATGCAGATGGCAAAGTGTACATCTATTTTAGGTATCATACGCAATTCGTACTGCCTTTTTGGCGGCGAGATCTGCAGCAAATTGTACATCTATTTGGCGCCGGTATTTCAATGTGTACTGTTATTTGGCATCAACCAATCAGAAAGCGTAGATACAGGCCGTTTGCCAAATAGATGTACGTTTTGCTTATATGCATCCGGTCAAGGAGAGCAGAAGAGTAAAAAAAAATATTATTTTTCAAAATTACAGACTTTCAAGAGTGGATATCTTGAAAACTATACAAGATATCACAAAACGTGTTGCATATTCAATTTGCTTTCATTTTGTATGGTATGGTGGTGTCGATAGGAAACATAGTTTTCGAGATACAAGCAAAAAACCGAAAGATGAGCCTTTAAAGCCCCCTCCCCTCCGCCCCCCACCCATCTGGCTCAAGGGCTACGGGCGGGGACTTTTGATATGTTCACCTACTCACTAGTCCAAACAAAGTTACGAAGTCGAAAATTGTGTTCCAAGACTTTCCCTCTAAACCTTTTTTGAGCATTCATTGCTTGAACTATATTTACTATTGTCTCCTCACAGTTGACGGCCATGCAGGAAAAAATGCGCAAACTGGTCGAGCTGAGCTCGAAAACGAAGAAGAAAGAAAAGAGCAAAGACAAGGTGAAACCGAAGAAGGGCCCGTCCGCCGCCGCCGCCGCCTCGATACCGAACAGTAGCAGCGGAGGCGGTGGCGGCGGCGGTGGCACCAGCCTAGGCAAGCCGGGGGCGCACGTGGCGCTCAACAAGTCGAACTCGGTGGCCGACAGCGTCGACGACAGCATAGCGAGCGTGGTGTCGGGGGCCGATTTGAAGATGGCGGTGGAGGCGCATCATCCGCCAGCGAGCAAGTCGCTGAACGTGCACCACAACGCCGGGGCGGGGGCGAACGCGTCGGCGCAAGCTAAGACTCCGAAGACCAAAGGTGAGTAGTAGATAACAAAGTCACTTGATCCGAATGGAACATGCTATTTTTTCTGCAACCGAAACAATTAACTGGAATTAATATGTGAAGTAACCACCAATGCCGTACCATATGTATGCAATGCAACAAATATTGACAAATTATCAAACATCAAATGCATATATTGGTCATCATCATCATCATCAAAATACTTTATTGTCTGAAGATAGATACATCTTATTGACAAAGTCTGGAATCCTAAATTTAAATTTAAAAGTTTATAGTTCCAATATACACACAAATGTTGAAAACAGTTTTTTGGACAATACACAAGATAGTCAATCAATAATACAAATAAAAATAAAAAAATGAAAAATAAAAAATTTTTTGTCGACACATCATTAAAAAATATATATATATATATACATTGCACAGTGTGTAATGGGCGTAAAATGTAAATTTAGTATAAATATTGGTAAGGTCAGGTAAAATACATTAACAGCTAATGATTTAAACTAAAATGGAAAGTCCAAAAAGTTTTATCCTACTTGATCAGAATAATAAAAACTCAGCTAAATTGATCTTCGTAAAATTCCTCTGTAGTATAATAGGCCCTCACAACCAAGAACTCTTTCACTTCTTTTCTGAATCTGGATACACTCTGTATTTCTTTTAAATTGCTGGGTAGGTGATTGAACAATTTTCTGCTCTTGTAAATAAGAGAATTTTGAGTAAGAGCTGACGTAGGGTCAATCAGGATTGATATAGACATATCATACAGAAATTATTGATTAAAAATGTAAATATCAATATAGACAAATGAACACACAAAAAAGAAGAATATAAATTACAATCACAACTATATTCAATTTGTTGAATACTGTCTGTCGGTTAATCAAGGAGGTGGTACATTCATTATTCAAATTTTTTGGGATTTTCTCCTCGTTTCTATAAAATGAAAATATGATTATTATTTCAATATACGTGTAGTAAGGACAAATCAGATGATTTGCTCCAAAAATTCCCTGCGTTTAAAGAATTTTTCTATCAGAGAGCTAAAAAGAAAAATTCACTAGCTTGTCAGTGACAATTTGTATTGAAAAAAGTTTAGAAAAGAGAAACAAAGGTATATAGAAAAAATATCAAATTTTCGTGACGGATTCTGCTCCCGTTTACAACATAAAAAATGGTTATTTGAATAGCAAAGTCGTATCTGTCTGAAACTTTTCAGTTCTCAGTGACAATTGGTGACGTTGACATATGGCAGAGTGGAACAATATTTAAAAAATCATTGGAAAAGAAGATAACAACCAGAAGAGAAAAATCACGGAATCTGCTTGCATTCTTCTGAACGGAGACAATAGAATTGCTTCTTGTTATGTTGATATAGACATGGTATTCACCACTGAAATCTGAACATGAAAATGGTTGATTCAAAATTGATTAATGAAAACATCCTGTAACTCATTTAATTGCCAACGTCACCAATTGTCACTGAGAACTGAGAAGTTTCAAGACAGATACGACTTTGCTATTCAAATAAACATTTTTTTTGTGTTGAAAACGGGAGCAGATTCGGTCCCGAAACGAATTTGATATTTTAATCATATACCTTTGTTTCTCTTCTCCAAACTTTTTTCAATACAAATTGCCACTGACAAGCTAGTGAATTTTTCTTCTAGGCTCTCTGATGAGAAAATTCTTTAAACGCAGTGACATTTTGGGGCAAATCATCTGTTGTCCTTACTACACGTATATTGAAATAATTTTATAGACACGAGGAGAGAAAATCCCAAAAAATTTGGAATGATGAAAAAAACTATATTATTTAAATCTTTATTCCCAGTAGTGACAGAAGAACTCTTGGTCTGAATGAAAACAATTTCCAGTGAAAACATTCCTCAAAGTTCTTCGAATTTATCCAAAGACATGCTATTGTCTTTGAGCTCCAAAGGTAAACAGTTGAAGTATTTGTAGGATTTATGTAAATAAGATGACTGAGTGTGATGCAGTCTGAAACCTCAGCAATGACCGAGATCTTGTCAGATGATCATGAGTATCACCAAGTTCAACAGTTGTTTCTGCTAATGTCAGCTTTTTGACATGACATAAACACTAGTGTGAAACAACGGAGAAGAGTAATAACTTTGAATTGTTGAAACAGGGGTTTAGCATGACTATCTCATTTTTTTGTAATTTAAAAATGTGTGAAGCATTTGTTGTATATCATAATATGTCACTCTGGCAAGAAATATGTTATAATTGCACAAAACACAACTCTATGCGACACTAGCGGCGATAGCTAGAACTTCCCGAAACGAGTATTCATTGATTAACTCAGCTTCCGGGCATAGTGATGGACCATCGGTGTCTTTATCTGGAGGAATTGTTACCGAAAGGAGACAGAAATCCAATAAACCCAAGAGAAGAAGAAGTATTTAATAAAGTCACTCTAGTTAGTCTAGTTTATGCCTGAGAACGTGTTTGTTTGTTTATTGTGGTTTTTAATCTGATAAAAAATAGGCATGCCTAAGGAAAATACAGTGAAGAACACTAATTGCTGTGTTTATGGATGCAATTCCAAAAAGTCGAGGAATCCTGAAATTCATTTTCATTATTTTCCAAGTAAAAATCAAAAAGTTCACATAACCAACAAAAGAGGAATCATAAAAGAAGTTGATCGACGTAAAGCATGGGAGAATGTTTTAATGATGGGAAAACCAGTAACTAAGAATATGCGAGTATGCTCACGACATTTCAGACCTGAAGATTATAGAATGAAAACAGGTAAGAGTGGAATTGATTACAATTGAGAGCAGTTCTTCATGTGTTTTGAAATAATTTCAGGGACTCTCTATGAAAATATCTCCGCGACTTGGAAAACAAGCTGTACCTTCACAAAACCTACCAATGAAAACAGTTCAAGTCAAGACTTCAAATTCCATCAAATGTTCTAGACATAACAGATTAGTGAGGCGACAGCAGCTAAGAGAGCAACAGCCAATTCCAAGCACTTCTTCATCAGTCTCTGAGGAAATATGTATAAATGAAGAGATTGCTCAGACATTAGATCTAACAGAACGACAACAAGAGGCAGTTGATGGACTCTTTCAATTGTTTCAAACAAGAGATCCTTCTGAAACTAGGAAATGTGATAAGAGTCTCCAAGTTTGTAGTGGTGATTTCAGAATTGAATTCTGGCAAACTATCAAATCAGACTCTATGTTGAATTCTGTTAGTGGTGTACAAAATTTCGAATTATTCAAAGTCCTATGCAAACTAGTTGATGAGCTTTATCCACGCAAGAGGCATACTTTACTTTCTACTGCTGATAGTGTGCTGTTGGTTTTTATGAAACTGAAACTAGGCATCAAATTCAAAGTTATTTCTTTTTTTTTTTCATGTGTCACCTTCTTTATGTTCAAGAATATTTCAGGAATTCATTCAAATTTTGTCAAAAATTCTCAATTCATTTCTTGTGTGGCCTTCTTTAGAAGAATGCAGACAAAATATCCCTAGTTGCTTCAGAGATTTCCAGAATGTGCGAGTTATAATTGATTGCACTGAAATTCCAATCAACCAACCTAAATGTTTATGTTGTAGAGTAAAAACATACTCCTACTACAAGAAGAGGAATACAATAAAAATAATGACTGGTGTGAGCCCTGCTGGACTGCTTACCTATGTCAGCAAAGCTTATGGTGGTCGCACATCTGATAAAGTTATTTTTGAAGAAAGTGGAATTATCAATATGTTAGAACCACATCTTGATGCCATTATGGTGGATAAAGGATTTCTTGTTGAAGAAATATGTAATCAACATTTCATCAAAATGATAAGACCGACTTTTTTGAGAAATAAGAAGCAATTCAATCAGGAAGAATCTTTGCATAATAGAAAAATTTCAAGAGCTAGGGTTCATGTTGAACGAGTCAATCAAAGATTGCGCCTATTTGATATTTTAAATACACCAATGTCATGGTCTTTAGTCAGACACATTGATGATATTATCATGGTTTGTAGTGGGATTGTAAATTTACAAAAACCTCTATTTTCTGATGATAAATTTGATTGAATTATTCAAATCTCAAATAAATAAATATTACATAGAAAATATAATTGTTTTATTCAGAAGAAATTTCCTGTCTGATACCATGATGAATGTTTATGTTGAATAGGTATACATACTACAAATCAAAAAAATTAAGCAATTCATATACTTTTTTGACAATAAAAGGCAAGGAATATTCTTAACAATTTATTTTGGAAGCTGAAAATAAAAATATCACCCAATCATACTACAATGAAATGAGTGAAATCTCGAGTGAAATGTTCAATAGTTTTCTGAATTAAAATTATGTTTTACATACAAAATGTAAAATCTTAGAGAAATACTTTTGGGAAATAGATAAAATCAAATCTCTAGAAAATGAAGGATTGAATGGTACCTCCAATCTCAAGAATTTTTTAGAAAAACTGGAATAAATAACAAAATCACATGTTTCTAAATTTAAAAGAGATAAACCAAGTTGTATTTGTCCATAATATGGGTGTTTCCTACTCAATTCTAAGCCAGATGGGGTCATTTTCAAATAGCGGCATGATGTAATGAATGAATCAGTGTCTTTTGTTTTTCCTGAAATGAAATATTATCATTATTACTATCATTAACATTGTTTTTTCATACTACCAATGAAAGGGCATTTTACTTCCACCAACTTTATAGGAACTTTGTTATCTAAAACAACTGCATCTGGGGAAAACCCAAGCCATAAGAAATTTTTCGAAATGATGATGCCTAAATCCTCCATTACTTCCTGGTCCATACTCTGTTTATATGCATGAAGTGCATTTTTCTCTTCATCCCTCCCATGCTTAACATATTCATTGGTGAACTTTTTGGGAAAAAAACATTGCCTAGTTTTTCTTCTCCAACACTCATCATTATTGTCCATACTATAGGTGAAAATGGAATAGCAATTACTCCCTAGAAAAAAATTACATAAGTAAAAAGTTGAATACAAAAACTCATTGCATGTCCCTAATTATTCATTATAAAAAGTAATAGTTAATTGCATTCTACTAAATTTCATTAACTTAACAAAATATTGAATAGGAGAGGTGATGAATCAGTGTCAAAAGTACATAATAGAACATACTGATTCACTTACCAGTAATTCTAAATTGTCTAAATTTATGCCATTCATCAGAGTTTTGTGATGACATCAAGGCTTGTGGTAGATCACATTTTTCAATAACCTTCCACTTATTTATACAGCATGCCTCCAGACTGAATTTTTCCATAGAGACATCTTTTGCAAGACTGATCAGAAATTCAGATGATTCACAATGCATCAGAATACTAGTGATGATGGTTGGCACTTCGGGTACTTCAATGGCATTGCTATGACTGCTTGTGGAAGGTAGGCATAGATTTTTTTGCCTTCCCAAACTGTAAAAAAAAATTAGCACCTTTTCTCAAATGAATATGCATTGTACATACTGATGTTTACTTATGTTGCTATCAGGAACACATTCCATGCCAATTTCTAGGCAATGCTTCATCTCATCTTCTGTTAGATCTCGAACAGCTTTCACCCTGCTCTTAGTTTTCATCAAACATGGATAATCACTAATTGGTTCCGGTTTGTACATTTCTTTGGCATGGAATTTTGCCTTTTTCCAGTAGCACTCAACATCAGTAGATGAAAGCATCTCAAGAGAGCTAATATCCATTCTGAAACAGACAGATCAAACAGCAGAGACAAAACTAAACAATAAATTTTAACTTCAGAATCAGTAAAATTGCCAGGGCACGATATTTCGCCTCTTTTATTATGTAGTAAATACAACCTTGTACAGTACAGAAGCAGTGCTGAAATATGCTTGCACATTCCAGACAATCCTGCTTTGCAAGTGCATTTCATGTCGCCAATCTTTACATCACCAACTATAGATAAAGTTCCCTCAATTTGATGGGGTTGTCCTTGCAGTGCCGATGTTTGTAGGCAGAGTCCCGCAATGTTTATGCTTTCCTTTGTAATTGTTTTCTTTCCACATAGAATCAAATGATTGGCATGTAACACTTGCTCACCCTCAACAATACATCGACTATCGGGTGTTGCATGTAAATATTTGAAAACTTCGGATAATTTGAGGAACATTTTGCCAGATGATCTGAAAAACTATAAAAATCAAATAGTGACATAACCTCAATATTCTACTTCTCAAAAGATAACCAACAGAGATAATTACAATAGAACCCAGAAGCACAGCCACAAGATCCACAATCAAAGAAACAGCTGTCAGTTTAAAAAAAGGTTGATAAAGAATAAAATCTCACAAAACGCACAAAAGACCACTATGTCACGTTATGGCTAATTATAAAAGAGTACTCGTTTCGGGAACAGCTGATACGGCGAATGCAGCGCCACCATCGGTAATTATTTATCCCAATACGCTACTCAAACAATCTGGAGTAGTTTTGTATGATAATTGTCTTAACATAGTTAGCATCAAATATATGAAAAACACTAGTGAACAAATACCATTATGTACCAATTTACTGATCAGGTGCACAGTGTCGAAGGCATGACAAATCATAGAACACACCACAACAAAGTTCTTTAGGTTCAAAAACTAACCAGCTAGTTTCTAATAACTTATTCAATACGGAAATCTTTGATTTATTCTTTCTGAAGCCAAACTGGTAGTTACTAAGAAGTGAATTTGTCTGCCTAAAGTGTACAATTTGTCAATATCAAAATACTGTCATTATTTTACGGAAAAGTGTGAAAAAAAGCAAATTTTTTCACGGTTGTTGCTGCTAGGCCATGGAATTAATGCTTGCGTGAAAGAGGCCCATACACTGCGTTGTCGGTAGGCTGTTTTGTTTGACGAACAAGTCTGTTCGAACAAAAATGACGCAAGACCAAAGTGTGTGGCTGAAAAATTGCCGTTTTCGCTAGCCACGCATCACACACCTCGGTTTTGCGTCATTTCTGTTCGAACATATTTATTCAGCAAGTCAGCAAGCGAACAAATTAAGGCGGCTGACTTTTCATATTGCATATGGAGTGCCAGTGAAATGGAGATGGGAGCGGGAGGAAGGCGCCACGGTACCTTCGCGTATTAGACAATATGCTCGCATCTCACGTATTATTTGATCAGCATCGCTGTACAAGAGCAGGATGAGCGATTTATTAAAATCAGCCGATGGTGGCTCTGGCTATTTCTTTCTTGGACACCAGGTGTTATCAATATAAGGCTTGTTGCGTTCAAAATATAAACAGTTTGAAACCATCAGGAGCATGCGCAATTTCACAGAACAGTACGAATTTGTCAAGTTCTGTGGAACTGAGCATGCATCTGATGGTTTCGGACTGTTTATTTTTCGTTTGATTACAAAAGATTGACTAACAGATATGCTGATATTTTGTTTTATTGTTTATTCTGTGATCTATACCATGTTTGTTACTACGCATTCCATGCTTTGTCAATAAGATTTATATGTTAGACAATGAAGTACACTTTTGATTTGATAGATTTGAGAATCATAATCAAAATATATATTATTGTGAAAATTGAAATAAATTGAAATAATAAAATAAAATTACTTATAGTGAATGAGAAGAAAAGAGAAACAGAAAAAAATGGAAATTTATAAAGTCTGTCAACTTAATTTTAGAATGTGCTGATTTGAGGTGTTTGTTGAAGGTGTACGCGGAAAGCCCGCAGCGGCAGCACCCAATTCGGCCCCCAAAAAGGTTAGAGCGAACAATAAAAATAATGCAGGGAGGAAGAAAACTGCAGCACAGCCGCCACCGCCCGCTTGTGATTCTGAGGAGGAGGACAATGCAAAACCTATGTCTTATGATGAGAAACGTCAGTTATCTCTGGATATAAACAAATTACCAGGTAATTGAATCAATCCATTATTTCATCGTTAGTTTCATGGCAATAGGTAATTCAAGTTCCCCCATTTCAAAGTGGTCAAAGCAAGAATATCTTGAATGATATTTTGTTCTATTGTGGATGACTAAACTTCAATTTCTCATTGCATATACAGTGGTGGGAAAAGGATTGTTTTCCTGAATGGAACGTTTTTTATTATATTTGATATCTCGGACGTTTTGTTCTCAAACTTCTTCTCTAAATCTAGAATGAGTTAGTATGAATTCACGTGAATAATTGATTGTACTTGTTCCTTCCTGAACAAGTTTCTGTGGTGGCAGAATATTTCATGTTGTCACGAATTTTGAGGGAGTCGTTTGTGTCCTTTTTTTACTTTATTTTCAACAACTGTTTATCATAACCTATTTGACATTGAGGGCCGGTTTATCAATTACAATTTATCTGTCAGTTAAAGCTTAACTACCAGTTTTTTTGGAAAGGTCGGTTTATCTACACCAGGGTAACTTTATCCGGCAGTTAAAATGTCAAATATTTATCTGTAAGTTTTAACTGGCGGATAGTCGATATCTGGAGGTTAATGCCTATACATAACCTCACTTTATTGAGTTGTTTTGATTTCCTAGCTTTCTGGTGTGACTAAACAGTTAAAAATGGAGAGTACTAGTAGTTCTACAAAGAAAAGAGGATGCAATTTCACAGCAGAGGAGAAAAATTTGCTGATTAAAATAGCGAATCAATACAAACGTGTGATTGAAAATAAAAAAACAGATGGGGCAACAAAAAAATTCATATTTATCAACAAAGAAAAACTCATAAAACAGAAAACCTCGAAAACAATCAACAATAACCTAACAAAACGGTCGTGACTACACGTGATCGGTCGTGATGTGACATGACCTTGTTCTTGTAACAACCAATGAGATTGCTTACATTTATTCATCAGCATTGCCAACTTTCATTATCTGGCAGTTGATTAACTGGAGAATAAAAATGAGTTGATAAACCACTTCCAAACAAACTGGAAGTTTATCTGCTAGATATTTTTATCTGACGGATAACTAACTGATGGATAATATTGGCAATTGATAAACCGACCCTGAGAAAACTATAAATTGAAGTTACCTGAGTCTTAAGTTCATTATATCATATCTTATTTTGCTTATTTTTCATAAAACATAGTTCTATATTAATTCAATGTTGATTACTGCAATATCTGGATTGGTAGGAACTTGAAATCTTGGGCGTTGCATACCAAGATCCTGTCCGGCAGAAAAAAAAATAGCCCCTGATCACACTCTAATTTTTTCATTTCTTCTTGTTTGTGAAATTTTGACCAAATCGTGAATTTATATTTGGCACAGTTGGTGGCTTGATAATTATACAGGAAAAAACAAAAGTTACTTTATCACAATCAAATCCTTTGGATTAAAGCGTGATCCCTCCTTAATACAATTGTTTTTGTTTTATGTAAATATCTTCTTTTCAGGGGAAAATAGATGTATTTGAGAAAGTGTTGATTTTTTTAATTTTCATGAACTAATTCAGAACCTTCATGAACTTATTGATTAACAACTTGAAAAAAACATGGAAAAATCAATATTTTTTTCATTTACACCACGCTTTCTTAGCACTCATCGGCAAAAATGAACAGAAAGCAGACTTACTAGATGTAGTCAATAACAAGCATGCCCTGCCTCAAATTCTTCTAAGAGGGCGAATCGTAGCTCTTGTAGGCCGCACAAAGCCAAAGACTACTATTGAGTCAATCCCAAAGGTCCATACTTTCTTGAAACACCTGTATCCTCTCTTGAAGAATATATATTGAAGTGAAAAAAGACATTGTGTTAAGAAGGTATCTTGATTCAATAGAAAAAACATAATGAAGCTAAGTATAACCATAACCATTCACTTTTGCCACCAGCTGTGCCATCAGTTTTTCTTGAGAACAAAACATGAATGTACGATTTGGTCAAAATTTCACCACAATCGGACAAGAATTGAAGAAGTTATGGAGCAATTAATAGGTCGCGTGCACGATGACCGACCCTGGAGGCAAAATATTGGAAACACAACCTCATTCTTCTGTGAATTATTGAAACACAATCTCACTTTTTTACTTGGTTACAGAGGAATCAAAGGATTGAACTAGTTTTTCACAATATTTTGGCATACGAATCGTGTTTTTTGCGCTATACATTAATTCGAGTATACCTTCGCATTGTGCTGTTGTACAATGCACAAAAAATGCAGCAAGAGACTAAAGAATTATGATTTTTCAGGTAAATAGTAATCTCACATAGTTATCATTATGAAATATTGCCATTCCTTATTAAAATTCCTTCTGCCTTCTGTCACTTCTGCAATACAATCTAATACTGCTAATAGATTGAAAATGTCTACAACACACACGATCGTCAGCATGTCAGACCAGTCCTCCCGATTGATTGCATGAGTCCAATTTTCTGGCATTATTTTAGAAATTTCAGATGTATTTCTATTAGCTTCTATCGCAGAAAGAATTCCGATGAGAAATCAGAGAAATTACCAAATTTCAAAAATGAAAACTATATGTGAGTGACTATAGTAGGTTCTTACTTTTGAATCATATTGTACCAACCGGATTACTTCGTCTTCCGCTGCAGTTTTTGTGCATTTCACAACAGCATAAGGTGATGGCATGAGCGAATTGATGAATAGCGGAAAAATACGATTCGTATGCCAAAATAATTGTGAAATAGTTATTTAACGAACTAGTGTATTAATGAGGGCGATTAATGATCGAGATATTTTAACGTGCGAGCGAAGCGAGTGCGTTAATGTTCGAGATCATTATTCGCCTTTTAATAAACAAGTTGGTTACAAAATTTTTCCGTCGACTATATTTCTCATTTTTCCTGCAATGAAGAAAACTTGGTTCGCGAATTCATCATCCATCCGGAAACTGCTGAGAATCACCCAGTAGCCTTGTTACTGACATTAGTGTCATTTGACATTTGTCGAAATGATCAACATAGGAAATAAATTCCTTGTGTTAGAAAAACAGGGATTAAAATCGTGTCAGAAACTTGGAAAGGCTAACCCGTTAACGGAAAATCGTCGATGAAATCCATATTTTCGATTTAAATGCAGATTCCGCTAGTTATTGCATAAACAATGAATGCACGCGGTGTATGTTTGGTTGCCTATAAAACAATCGTGCATTAATAGACAAATCGTCCATTAATAGGAGTTATTAATGAACGATTTCATATACATTAAACTTAGTTGTTAATACGAGGTCGATGGAAAAACTATTTCAATCACTTGTGAACAAATAAGTAAAGTGATGTTTGTGTTTCAATATTTTGCCTCCAGTGTCGGTCATCTGACAGTTCTTGCACGCAACCCATAGTGGCTAATTTCTTTTCTAAGCCGGATTTTTTTGGCTAAAGTATAATGAACTAAGAAACGAATTAACTTTCAGGTGACAAATTAGGAAGGGTTGTACATATTATCCAATCGAGGGAGCCTTCCTTGCGTGACTCGAACCCCGACGAGATCGAAATCGACTTCGAGACGCTGAAACCGTCTACGTTGAGGGAGTTGGAGAGTTACGTCGCGTCGTGCCTACGTAAAAAGCCACGTAAGCAATACTGTAAGTTCCGTTACCTCACGTCTACAGGTCGGCTTTTGCGCACCGGACCTTCGAAAGTCGGCATGCCCTGAACAATAGCTTTTTTTCGTCGACCTCTACGAAAAATTACATTCCACATACTGATTTCCGAATGAAAAATCTACCATATTCATACATGTCATTGTGATACGGCACGGTGTGAGAGCGGTGATTGAGTTGACAAACTGTCATTTTAGTCCAATCATTTGGTAGTCTGGACAGGAAAAAATTGCAAAGAATTTTTCTCAATGGATCCATTTGTTTTTTGGTATGCTGAATCTGAAAATTCAGTTATCGACTAGATTCGGATATGGCTTCACCATGAAAATGGCATAAAATTATGAAAAATCGGGAGTTGTTTTAGTTCTTTGCTCACAACTCTTAAATGACTTGATATAGAGAAAAATAAGCGCAGATGAAAATGAAAGCAAATGAAATTGACAAGAAAAAAAGATGAAAATCAGCTCACTAACTCATCTGGTTCAGCTGCTAGAGCGCGCTGGAGATTGACCATAGTTTTCAAGTTATTCAAAATATTCGTTTTTCAGACTTTCAAAGCCTACAGTCTGTCCACGGAATCTGCGCCCTTCGTTGATTGAGTCTGAAGTCAAAATTGAATCCATAATATAAGTCTGCTTGTGAAAGACAACTCATGGTTGTATGGATAAAAATAAATAGACAATCATCCAAAAATTCATTTAGTGCAGATGGAGTCCACTGTTTTTGTGTTTCACAGCATAGTTCTTCGGAATTTCATTACCACACAGGAAACAATGAGTTCAAAATGCAAAAATATGTTAGGCTGATCGTAATTGCACAGGAGGCCTTTTTTTCAGCAGCAACAATATTCGTTTTCCTTCGATTGGCAGCAAATATTAATTTTGCTGACACATATCGATCAGCAAAGTATAACTTTTCCTGCCTAGGCAGCAAAGTGGTTACTTTGCTGATTGATAGGTATCAGCAAAATTAAAAATCCATTAATCGTTTAAAATTTCCTTCATATTCCATCCGAGACTCCTCCGGCAACAAATTCAACTCTATATTTTTTGCTACCTCCCTTATTTAATGGAGGTGTAAGTATACTTCCAGGTCGCTGTCACTGTCCATTATATAATAATTTAAATATACCGATATTTTTTCGCACAACTGTCAGAAATTTCATGAATTGTCAAACCAACAACTGCGATTTATATCAAATTTTATTTTAATTGAACACTATACAGGAAGAATAAAGAGATTGTGGGAATTGTATTAATTCGCAAATACAATATTCTCCCATATCATTATGAACAATCGGAGAAAAAATTATATGTTCAACTCGGCAGCAAAGTAGATTGACTGCCTTAGCTGGATTCCTAGCCTCGCTACGCTCGGCTATGAATTCAGCCACGGCAGTCAATCTACTACTTTGCTGCCTAGTCAAACAAATAACTATTCCTTGGTGTATTGTTTCCGGCATGAAACATGAACTGTGAGAGAGTCTGATTTCTCAAACATATCATTTTTACCGTCCTTACTCCTCACACTAGCTTTTACAATGGCTTTCAACCCTCTGTACACTTACAGTTTTGGTTCCATCGTCCAGCAGCTTATCACAAAGTGTACAATAATTATCGTTCGACATTTTAACTCACTCACGAAAGATGGAAAAATATCAGAAATTTTGAAACAAATCACTTAGCAACTAACTGTGTGACAATCGGGGTTGTTCCAAGAGTATAGAAAATAGTACTAGACAAATTTTAATTTTCGTGCTAGATTCAGAATGAAGCGTAATTGATGTATATTATTTGTGATTTGGAGGGAAATTGAAAATGAAGGTATAAAATAAATGTTAAGGAAGGAGGTTCAGGATACTCCATGGTGAGACACACTAGGCGGAAACACTAGCCTGGCGATGTATACTAATTTAAAATCTGTCATACGAATATTTTGGACAACTTTAAAATTATTCTCAATTTTCAGGGCTGAATCGAACAAGATATCCAGCATATTTTGATCTTGTTTTACAGTAAATTTTATAGGCTTTCATATTTGTATGTAAATCACGTCGTTTCTGAGTTATAAGCAAAAAATCAAAGTAATGTTACGTAAACTTCGCCATGGAAGACAATAATTTGGGTGTGCGCCGACCAATACTCAGTGGAGTCGGGAGTGTGATTTCTTAAAATCACACCCCCAAATTCGGAAAGTTTTCTCAGTCTTGTAAAAACCAACTAAAAAGACCCCAAGAATTTAGTCTACAGGTTGAACTCAATAAAAACCAACGTATTCCAGGTGTGGGGGGAATATAATTGAATTCAAATTTCAATTTGTGACCTACCTAGCTCTCGAGAGGACTATTTATGATTCTAATTATTATATCCATGAAAGAAAAGGACAGTAAACCGAGCTGTGAACTACAACGGGATAGTCAACATTCACTGAGCAAACTGAATCAATAGTCTCACAAACTTAAGTTCATCAATATCAGTCAATCTCTCGTCATGACCCCGGTAAACCAATATAAAAATCCACTAGGTGGTACTTATCACTGCTCCCGCGAAGTTGAGGATGACTTCATCAGATTGTAGATGAGTGTCTACGATGTCCTTCTCCTCAAACAACCAACGATGTTTCGGACCATAAGTGAATATCACCCAGTATATCATTCATATTTTAGTTCACTCTATACATTATATTTGCTATACGACACCGTGCGAAAACGTCTGAAATCAGATAAATAGCCAGATAAGAATCTATCAGAAAAATAATAATAGTAAAGTACCGGTCCTAAACAAAAAGAAACTCACCTCCAAAGCAGATAACCCAAGCATTCAGAGACGTTTTGATTATGCTTTCAACTTATAAATCCTTCTTCATCAAGGCATCAAGACAAATCAATTTCCATAATATAATAACGTATCCCAAAAATTTGTCTAATTCAGTGAACAATGCGAAGAAATCCGTAAAACGATACTTATAAAATATTTCGCAGATCACCGTCGTTCTTGCCACAAATAAATTCTTTTTCTCCAGTACCTACCTACCTCGGCCGTCACTCGATCGCACGTTTTTTGCGTATTAGAAGATAAGATAAAAACACGCTAGAAACATACAGGGTCGTCCGAGAATCACGATACCTACACTAAATTTTGAAATGATTGAAATTTGGTCACTGTAAGTCCCGAATTTTCATAGTTTATTGCGATTTTTGTGGTGAAGCCATAATAATATTCGAATCTAGTCGATAAATAGATTTTCAGATAGATTCAGCATCACAAACCCATATAGATCCCACCAAATTACTGGATTATTTGCTGTTGTTTATTTAATTATTTACGAAATCAAATAAATGTACCGTGTGAATAAGACCATTGTGTGAATATAAGTGTTCCAGGTCGACGAAAAAATTTAATATGCGCCTCGACGAAAGACTGTCTATTGTCTCGCTGGATTGCTAGCCTCAGCTATCAATTTGCAGGCTCGACTATAATAGACAGTTTTTTGATTCTTGGTACATCAATAACTATTTTTTCCGTTATGGATCACTTTTTTTATTGATTCGATTGTGACGGGCGTGCCAAAGGCGTACGTAATTGGAACTACACATTTTTAAGCATGGTAGAACGTTGCTGATGGGACTTCCTAGGCATAAAAGGAAGGTTGGGGTATGGAATGCTTTCTATACTTAACTGGGTGTCCAAGTTGTATGTGTCATAATTTCAGTGGGTGATGTAGTGATAGAGACAAAAAAATATCAACTCATTTATTAAAGGTTTCTTTTTTTCCAAAGTGAGATTGGGAAGGGTAATTATTAGATTGCCTAGAATATCTGACGTTTGAGAGTGAATACAGTTGGAAGACAAATTTGAGACCGCCGCCCAAGATGGAACCCCCCTTATCTCTTTTGTTTCTCAAGAGATGTGAAGAAATTTTGGATAAAAGAGTTGTTTGAAACGACGCAAAATTTTCTTTGGTGAAGTTGCTTCATATACAGGGTCATTCGTTTTACCGGAAAGGACAGTAACTTCGATTTTTTCAATGGAACACCCAATATATATTTTCTGACATGTTGATAGTGTTTTTTTCATCAATAACAAGTATTTCTCATCCAAATATAAACAATTCCACGGAATGGAAGTTGGGGTCGTTTTATAATACTTTTTCATTCAACATATTTTCATATCTCTCAAACCAAAAGAATTGAGGGGGGTTCAATTTTAAGAAGCGCACCCGTAGGGTTCATCTTTGGAAGTATAATCCTCCCTTACATTTTTGTTTTTGAAGATATGAAAAAATGATGATTACAAAAGTAGGATGAAATGACATGAATTTATACAGGGTCTGTTAATTTCAGAAATTACCAATTATTGTATTGCATATTGAAAACTTTTTTTCATTCAATTGATACCAACAATATACATATTTGGATCGAAAATGATTGAGATATTGACAACTATTCATTAAGAAAATTCTTTTCAATGGAAAAATGATGCTACCAAATTTCAGCAAACTATATTACTTCCGAAATATCGGCCATCAAAGTTATTATGTCAAATTCACATAATGCCTTGTATCTTTGTTATGAATGACCAAAAGAACTTTTCATATACATACAGCAACTCCTGATTTCCACTATCCTCCATTTGGCTCTGCGGCCCTTCTCATGAATCACCTTGTATAGTAGTGTGTTCCCAATATTTCTTGAAGTTTTAACATACTTGATTTTTTCCTAAAAGAAATTAATCATCCACTTACGACAACTCCAAACTTTAATTGAAATCATATAGAAAATTCTGTGAAAGTTCATATATTATTCAGGACATGGAAATTGTAATTATACATGTACATATCATAAGGATCTTCCCTAAATAACTTTTCCAATGATGCATTTCAAAAAGAATGAAGAGAAAAACACGTCAAGAATTATATACAGGTGGGCGCATTTTGACATTCAGAAAAAAAAAACAAGAAAAAATATTTCCCCTGCATTTCCA